GAAAAAAATATTTATTTAGATTCTTTGTTTAATTTTGAATTTTGTGTATTTATTTAATTCCTTTGATATAAATTCAAATGATAAATATAAACAAGGAAAATAATATATAAATAAGAAAAGACAAAGTTTTTGTTTTTAACTGGGTTTTATCGACAGGTATCCGAGTAAAGTGGGGCAAATAATATGAACAAAACCTTTTTTATTAATCCCACCTTGTGTTCTGAAGATTACATCTAAAAAAAAATATATATATATATATGAAAATAAGCTTATAATTCTCCTTCCACTTCAGGATTACACATCGCCTTGGATTGGCCACAAAATTAACTGAAGAGTGACAATATGGAGAAAAAATAGAAAGGTTTCGGATTCTTTAAAAATGCTTCAAAAAATTAAATTTATGTTGGGTTTGCTCAAAGCTTTATGTTTGTATTTAAATATTATAATGAAGCACTAAAAGTCAAACATGAAGGTGAACCAAAGGACCAGCTTCTCCATCGGTAGAATTCTCCATTAAGATGGATGAGCCATGAGCTTCCTCAGCTGTAGCGTCACCCAGTTTGTCCGATCTTCGCTGTTTGCTTCATGCTGTGTGTAGAGCTCTCCTGCCTTTTTCGTCTCCACACCGATGAGGTCATCATGCTTAAAAAGCTCATCCGCTAATCTGTGTGTTTCTCTCTGCTAGACGTTTCCAGTAGATGAGTGTCACGTTGACAGCTTTAGTCTCATGGCATGCTCCAGCCTCATCTGCTCTGTCTCTCTCTCTCCACGATTCAGTTGGTAGTTAAACAGCTTAGTGAGACCCTTTCCTGCTTCTCCGGACCTTCTGTCTTTTCCAGGTTGAATGCTACGACTATAACAACAGCGGATCGCATGATTTCATCGGCTCCTTTACCACGACGCTCAGCCACATACAGCAGGCGTCCCAGTCATACGCAGTGAGTTCAGTGAAATGCTCTTATTTATTTTCTTTTATGAGAAGCTGAATAACTACAGCAGGAGCGTCTCGAAGTCGCTCTCTAACTGGTTTGTTTCTCATCTCCTCAGGCAGAGTATGAATGCATCAACCGCAAGAAGAAGGAGAAGAAGAAGGGTTACAAAAACTCAGGAGTTATTGTCATAAAACAATGCAAGGTACTTTCTATGTATCTTCCTTCATAAGGAAAGAAACAAGATTATTTTACTATTTATAGGAAATATG